TTAGGTACGTCTATTCGACAAATAGGTTAATTGATTTATCATCTAATAGTAGCTTAGGTAGGAGTCCATTGCAATAACATTGAGTTACGAGTTACCGAAGAGAGCTCTGTGCAACCGGACCCTGAAATTATGTCGATTTGCATTGGAGGTTTACTTAATTTGATAAGGAGCACATGACCGTTTCCTTGAAACAAACGAGACAATTCAATCGTATTTATACATTATATTTTGATGAAGAATTCAAATACGTATACAACAAATGAGTGACAGATCTCCTGTGCAATGTCAAAGGGAAAAAAACCAGTCGTCAGCAAATGCAGCATAGATTTCCCATGCATGGGAAAGGATAATACTTAATACATAACATTATATACAATGTTTTTATTTATATCAAAAGAGGGGCGTGGATATTCTTTACCTACATTGCACATACTATTAGATATTGTGTATTCTCGATCTCTGTGAACTTCTCACAGATAAAGAAATAATAATAAATAAATGCAAACCATGTTAACTTATGCAAAATTTGTAGCAATGTATGATTAACATATGGATCATTAATATAACATAAAATATTTCCTTTCATAGGAAGAAGTATATTTAATGAAATAAATGAATAAATGTAACTGTCTGGATTCCTTTCATATGTCATGAAGAACTAACAACAACTTACTGACAACTTTTGCTGGGATAATAACTCCTTGCCCCAACAACAAAAACAAAATCAATCATGATCACGGCATGAAATCATAATTCAAAGAATACACAAATAATATTCTGTATCTTCGGGCATGTCTTGTTGAGTTTCAAAGAGCATCAGAATGTATAATAAATTTGTTGCAATCAATTATTGCTGAAATATATCTGTTTTGATCAAAATTGAAAGGATGAGAAATCTATAATAAAAAGGGTTTTGTCACTAACGTAAATATTCTCTTTGACCTTATACGAAGAGTATTCTAAGATCATTAAACTCGGCAATCGTTGGTGGATTGCGCCAAGCAACCTTGATACCAAATTTGGTACCTCACGTATAATGCGGTACATAATTGTCGAAACAGATAATTACGTTTTTCATAAGTTATGACTAATTTGTGACATATATACGGACAAAAATTACCTCAGAGGATTATCTTCTCTGGGGGTTTAAGAGGATTAAAATAATTCCAGCTAACATCAAGCACTGTAAAAACATATTGAAATTATAGCATACCTTCTTAACATTCCAATGAAAAGAATAGTGACTATCTAAGAAATCAAATTATATTTATCTCCGACACTATGCCCTCATCAGTATGCACGCACGCACGCACGCACGCACGCACGCACGCACGCACGCACGCACGCACGCACGCACGCACGCACGCACGCACGCACGCACGCACGCACGCACACACACACACACACACACACACACACACATAGGTATGTATGTATGTGTGTGTTTGTGTGTGTGTTTATGTTTGTATGTATGTATGTATGTATGTATGTATGTATGTATGTATGTATGTATGTATGTATGTATGTATGTATGTATGTATGTGTGTGCGCGTATGTAGGTGTGTATGTAATGACAGTAAATGTGAGCTCTATGTCATTGGTATCATTACTTTTCAAGGTCCCTTTACATATCAATAGTTGTATAAGGATTACTGTTCACAAATATAATAACTGTGTGTGTCAAACATGCATGTTTTCTCATTGCATGACAAAAGTATCTGGAGCTATATTCGTACCGAAAAATTATACATATAATTTTTCGGTACGAATATAGCTCGATATATATAATTTTTCGGTACGAATATAGCTCGATATATATAATGTTTAACTGTACTCCGAACAGTTGGATTACATATATATATACAAAGGTACAAAACTGTTGAGGGAAGTTTGGTACAGCATTTATCGTACAACCGTCATTAAATATGACTTAGTGTGGGGTGAGAGAACTTTTTGAAACTTGATATATCGAACATTGTTGTATATATACTCTTCAAAAACAGAAACTTGACATAGATGTTAAACCACTTTTTGCAAAAAATCTAAAATAATTACATTAAATGAGAACCAAATAAGTCAAACAGAAAGATGATGTGTCTATAATTCGCGAAAACACATGCAAAGCACGTATACGTAGCGTTTGGGGATCAATTTTACAGCTTCATCCAAACGCAACCGCCTGTAAAAACGTGCAGCACAGGATCCTGCATTTAGGCATGTAGGCCCCCTGCTGAATGGGTATAAAAATCCACATCAACGGCTGTTCATACAGTCCTTATAACGGCAGTAGAGGCGGTGACAGAATGCCAAGGCTGAATGCAGCTCAACGGAACAACGCCATTCGGAGATTACAAGCTGGAGCAACTCAGCAAGAAGTGGCCAGGCACTTTGGCGTATCCAAACAGACAATCTCCGCACTGTGGACCCGACACAACAACACCACAGAGGTGACGACAGACCAAGGTCAGGAAGACCAAGGGTGACAACCCAAGCACAAGATCGATACATCCGGCTGTGACACCTCCGTGACCGCACTACCACAGCCACGTCTACAACCACACAGATCCCTGGGGTACGCAGAATATCAGATCAAACGGTACGCAACAGACTGAGGGAGGCTGGACTTTTTGCATGAAGACCTGTTCGACGTCATGTATTGACCCCAGGTCATCTGGCGGACCGTCTGCTTTGGTGCCAACAGAGGGTTAGATGGGCACGTGCAAGGTGGAGAAATGTACTGTTTACTGACGAGTCCCGTTTCCTACTCACACGTGCTGATGGGCGCGCACGTGTCTACAGACGTCGGGGTGAACGTTACGCCCCCAACTGTATGCAGCAGGTTGTCCCATTTGGCGGCGGGAGTGTCATGGTATGGGCCGGAATTCATCACGGTGGTAGGACGCCTCTCGTGCATATAGCAGGTGCATTGGCAGGTGTGCGTTACAGAGACTTGAACCTACAGCCTTACGTTCTTCCTCACGTCAACGTTCATGGCGGATAGTTCCAGCAGGACAACGCTCGACCGCATATTGCACGTGTTTGTCAGGACTTCTTACAGCACAACAACATCCAGACATTACCTTGACCAGCCCGGTCACCAGATTTGTCCCCGATTGAGCATCTGTGGGACGAGTTGGATCGACGCGTTCGCAGAAGGAATCCACCGCCCCAAACACTTCCGGCGCTTCTTGATGCACTTCAGCATGAATGGCAGCACATCCAACAGCGTGTTATTGACAACTTGATTGCATCTATGGGTCGTCGGTGTCAAGCGGTAATTGATGCACGTGGTGGGCACAACCTATACTGACATTTTCTGTACCCCTGTGACATTAACTGTATCGTGTACGTGTGTCTGTCTAGGTGACACGATTAATGTTTTGAACATTGTGTACATTGATCTTCAAACAGTGTTTCAATTATGGTTTCTGTGTCCTATTTTGAAACAATCGCATTATATTACATTTGGAAAGTCAATGTCAAGTTTCTTTTTTTGAAGAGTATATATAAACTCACTTGAGTGTTTTTTCTTTAGGTTAAGTACGTGGTTATCAACACAATGTATTTATATATAAAAATATATGTTTGGGGTGCTTTCCTTGCATTTAAAGTGTGTTAGCAGCAGTTGAAAAGAGCGATTCAGCATGAAACCAAATTTGAAATGGGGTTAAACAGTTGCTACATAGTGTATGAAATACCCTCTGAAGACATATATTGCAGTCTCAAATTTAGAAGTTTTAACTCAATTTCAGAAAAAAAAGTGATAAGGGTAGGCAATTAGAACTAGTTATATAATTTGACTTTTTGGTAAGTCACCAGTCATTCCATTGGAATTTTAAGAGAGTATGTTATTACAGTGCTTGATGTTAGCCCAAATTACTTTAATCCTCTTAATCTTTCAGAGGAGGTTATGTTTTCAGGGGATTATTGTACGTATATAATTCGTATCAAGGTTTCTTGGCGCAATCCACCAACGATTGTCGAGTTTAATGATCTTCAAGTACGTTTCAAGGTCAAAGAGAAAATTTACTTTAGTGACAAACATATTTTCATTATCAATTTTCAATTCCTTTCTATTTGGATACAAGCAGATATATTTCGGCAATTGATTGCAAGAAATTTATAATAATTCGTATACTCTTTGAAACTGTACAAGAGTTATCCGAAGACACCGGATGTTATTTGTGTATGCACGGGATCTGTCAACTCATTTGTTGTATTTGAATTCTTCGTCAAAATAAAATGAATTGTATAAATATGATTAAATTCCCTCGTTTGTGTCAAGAAAAGGATCATGTACTCCTTATCAACTCGTATAGCGTTTCCACTGCAAATCGACACACTGGTTGACCAGCCTGTGTTTGTACCCTTCGTCATCACTCGTCCAGTCGTGTCGAACGTACTGTTGAAGCAAGTCATGCAAAATACATCTTGAATAGCCTTATAAGAGTATTGAACAATATGTCACAATTAAGTTATTTGTCGAATATACGGTTGTGTAACCCATCATTTTGAACCCGGGGATGGATCTTTCAGTCATTTAAATTTATCGATGTTGACACCACCCTTTAATGACGATTGTACGATAAAGCCTATACCAACCATCCCTAACTTAACAGTTTTGTACGTTTGTCATCATACACAGAATTTTTCGAATTGTACATGTGAAACGCAAGCTCAACTGACAAAGATCATTTCTAGTCAATTGGCGTCTTGGACACTACGGTAGTAAGGTTATTACAATTTACGTAAGCATTTATTACATTTTACCGCAAGTTGAGATTATTACAATTTAAGTCAATTTTTATTACAATTTGCGTATTACAATTTACGTCAAATATTATTACAATTTACGTTGTTATTACAATTTACGTCAAAATTATTACAATTTGCTGCAAGTATTACAATTTACCTTTTTATTACAATTTACGTCGTAACACGCCCTAATATAACTGAAATACTAAGTGGCGTTAAACAAAACTCTGTCCTTCCCATTGCAGGCGTCCAGTGTGACAGCCTAACGGGCAAATCTTACTACATCCATAGGGACGTTAGGACATGGAACGAAGCAAGGACAATATGCGAGGACAATGGAGGACGCCTGGCCCAGATAGACAATCAGCAGACCTTGGATGCCCTTATGGCTTATTCAAACACCGATCATTGGATAAATGATATGTATGTCTTCTTACTAGATTGGCCATTTGAATAGAGATGAGCAAACATCTATTAGCTATGTTTCTTTCTTGATAACTAAATTAGAATGTGAAGGGCATACGCAATTAGAGTGAAGGGTAGCACTGGTTTTAACAGTACTGTAGTGGGGTCGTAGACAAATGGACAAGGGTCGGCTGGGAGCCTTATTCGAATGTACGATCAGGAAATGAGGGCAACTAGACGGCAGTTTTGTCCGGAAAATGGGGTCAGCTGAATATTTGGATTAAAGTAGGATAATGGTTATGTACAATAAGTCTGTTTATCTATGACACTAGGTTTGGACATTTCTGGATTGGACTGAACCGAGCGGAACATGAGACCGATTTCCGGTGGGATCACTGCGAGGCTGTTGATGGTTCATCATTTACGTTCTGGGACAGCGCGGCAGTCCACGAGGCGGGGAAAATGTGTGTGTTTGGTGAAAGGGACACATTAAAGTGGTACAGCGAAATATGTGACAGCAGTAGCTATCTGTATCTATGCCAGAAAGACACAGGTGAGTATGAAGAAACCTTGTAGTCCTCGGTGCCGTTCTACAAAGCGATCTTAACGCTAGGGTGATCGTAAGTCCCATACCTTAACATAGACTTAAAACAGTCGTAGCGCTAAGGTTGTTTTGAACAACGGCACTCTGAAGCAATGTTAGTGTTATGACTGTCGTCACCCGGGTCTATTTACCTTATATATTGAAACGAGTCTAAAACACGAATAATCTTTACGAGAGCATCGTATATGTAACCCCTTTACATTAACACTGACTTCAGCCGTAACCGCTTTACATTAACGCTGACTTATTTCGTAAACTCTTTATATCAACACTGACTTACGTCGTAACCCCTTTTCATACAACACTGACTTACGTCCTAACCTCATTACAATGACACTGACTTATGTCGTAATCTCTTTACATTAACACTAACTTACGTCCTAACCTCATTACAATGACACTGACTTATGTCGTAATCTCTTTACATTAACACTAACTTACGTCCTAACCTCATTACAATGACACTGACTTATGTCGTAATCTCTTTACATTAACACTGACTTCCGTCCTAACCTCATTACAATGACACTGACTTATGTCGTAATCTCTTTACATTAACACTAACTTACGTCCTAACCTCATTACAATGACACTGACTTATGTCGTAATCTCTTTACATTAACACTGACTTCCGTCCTAACCTCATTACAATGACACTGACTTATGTCGTAATCTCTTTACATTAACACTGACTTACGTCCTAACCTCATTACAATGACACTGACTTATGTCGTAATCTCTTTACATTAACACTGACTTATGTCCTAACCTCATTACAATGACACTGACTTATGTCGTAACCCCTTTACATTCACACTGACTTATGCCGTAGCCTCATTACAATGACACTGACTTATGTCGTAGCCTCATTACAATAACACTGACTTACATCGTAACCCCTTTAACGACTTACGTCTTAACCTCTTTATATTAACACTGAATTACGTGGAAGCCCCTTTACATTAACTCTGACTTATGTTGTAACACATTTACGTTAACACTGACTGACATCATAACCACTTTACAGTACCACTGACTTTCGTCGTATCCTCATTACAATAACACTGACTTACGTTGTAACCCCTTGACATTAATACTGACTTACATCGTAATTCCTTTATATTAACACTGACTTACATCGTAAGCTCTTTACATTTACACTAACTTACGTCGTAACCTCTTTACATTAACACTGACTTAGGTTGTAACCCTTTATATAAACACTGATGTACATTGTAAACCCTTTACATTAACACTGATTTACGTAGTAAACCCTTTACATTAACACATACTTACGTCGTAAGCTCATTTGAATAACACTGACTTACGTCGTAACCTCTTGACATTAACACTGACTTACGTCTTAACCCTTTACATTAACACTGACTTACATCGTAACGCTTTACAATAACACTGACTTACGTCGTAACCCCTTTACATTAACACTGATTTACGTCGTAACCCTTTACATTAACACTGACTTACGTCATAACGCTTTACATTAACACTGACTGACGTTGTAACCCTTTACATTAACACTGACTTACATCGTAACCTCTTTACATTAACACTGACTTACCTCGTAACACCTTAATATTAACACAGATTTATGTAGTAAGCCCTTTACATTAACACTGACTTACGTAGTAACTTCATTAGAATAACACTGACTAACGTCGTAACGCTTTATATTAACACTGACTTACATCGTAACCCCTTTACATTAACACAGATTTATGTAGTAAGCCCTTTACATTAACACTGACTTACGTCGTAACTTCATTAGAATAACACTGACTTATGTCGTAATCCCTTTACATTAACACTGACTTACGTCGTAACCCCTTTACATTAACACTGATGTACATTGTAAACCCTTTACATTAACACTGACTTACGTCGTAACTTCATGAGAATAAACCTGACTTACGTCGTAACCCCTTTCCATTAACACTGACTTATGTCGTAACCCTTTACATTAACACTGACTTACATCGTAACCTCTTTACATTAACACTGACTTACCTTGTAACCCCTTAATATTAACACTGATTTATGTAGTAAGCCCTTTACATTAACACTGACTTACATCGTAACTTCATTAGAATAACACTGACTTACGTCGTAAACCCTTTACATTAACACTGACTTACGTAGTAACTTCATTAGAATAACACTGACTTACGTCGTAACCCCTTTACATTAACACTGACTTACATCGTAACCCCTTTACATTAACACTGATGTACATTGTAAACCCTTTACATTAACACTGACTTACGTCGTAACTTCATTAGAATAACACTGACTTACGTCGTAACCCCTTTACATTAACACTGACTTACATCGTAACCCCTTTACATTAACACTGACTTACGTCGTAACCCCTTTCCATTAACACTGACTTACCTCGTAACCCTTTACATTAACACTGACTTACATCCTAACCTCTTTACATTAACACTGACTTACCTCGTAACCCCTTAATATTAACACTGATTTATGTAGTAAGCCCTTTACATTAACACTGACTTACATTGTAATTTCATTAGAATAACACTGACTTACGTCGTAACGCTTTATATTAACACTGACTTACATCGTAACCCCTTTACATTAACACAGATTTATGTAGTAAGCCCTTTACATTAACATTGACTTACGTCGTAACTTCATTAAAATAACACTGACTTATGTCGTAATCCCTTTACATTAACACTGACTTACGTCGTAACCTCTTTACATTAACACTGACTTAGGTTGTAACCCTTTATATAAACACTGATGTACATTGTAAACCCTTTACATTAACACTGATTTACGTAGTAAACCCTTTACATTAACACATACTTACGTCGTAAGCTCATTTGAATAACACTGACTTACGTCGTAACCTCTTGACATTAACACTGGCTTACGTCTTAACCCTTTACATTAACACTGACTTACATCGTAACGCTTTACAATAACACTGACTTACGTCGTAACCCCTTTACATTAACACTGATTTACGTCGTAACCCTTTACATTAACACTGACTTACGTCATAACGCTTTACATTAACACTGACTGACGTTGTAACCCTTTACATTAACACTGACTTACATCGTAACCTCTTTACATTAACACTGACTTACCTCGTAACACCTTAATATTAACACAGATTTATGTAGTAAGCCCTTTACATTAACACTGACTTACGTCGTAACTTCATTAGAATAACACTGACTTACGTCGTAACGCTTTATATTAACACTGACTTACATCGTGACCCCTTTACATTAACACAGATTTATGTAGTAAGCCCTTTACATTAACACTGACTTACGTCGTAACTTCATTAGAATAACACTGACTTAAGTCGTAATCCCCTTACATTAACACTGACTTACATCGTAACCCCTTTACATTAACACTGATGTACATTGTAAACCCTTTACATTAACACTGACTTATGTCGTAACCCTTTACATTAACACTGACTTACATCGTAACCTCTTTACATTAACACTGACTTACATCGTAACCCCTTTACATTAACACTGATGTACATTGTAAACCCTTTACATTAACACTGACTTACGTCGTTACTTCATAAGAATAACACTGACTTACGTCGTAACCCCTTTACATTAACACTGATGTACATTGTAAACCATTAACATTAACACTTACACGTTGTAACTTCATTAGAATAACACTGACTTACGTCGTGACCCCTTTACATTAACACTGACTTACGTCGTAACCCCTTTACATTAACACTGATGTACATTGTAAACCCTTTACATTCACACTGACTTACGTCGTAACTTCATAAGAATAACACTGACCTACGTCGTAACCCCTTTACATTAACACTGACTTACATCGTAACCTCTTTACATTAACACTGACTTACCTCGTAACCCCTTAATATTAACACTGATTTATGTAGTAAGCCCTTTACATTAACACTGACTTACATCGTAATTTCATTAGAATAACACTGACTTACGTCGTAACCCCTTTACATTAACACTGACTTACATCGTAACCCCTTTCCATTAACACTGACTTACGTCATAACCCCTTTCCATTAACACTGACTTACGTCGTAACCCCTTTACATTAACACTGATGTACATTGTAAACCCTTTACATTAACACTGACTTACATCATAACTTCATTAGAATAACACTGACTTACGTCGTAACCCCTTTACATTAACACTGACTTACGTAGTAACCCCTTTACATTAACACTGATGTACATTGTAAACCCTTTACATTAACACTGACTTAGGTTGTAACTTCATTAGAATAACACTGACTTACATCGTAACCCCTTTACATTAACACTGACTTACGTCGTAACCCCTTTACATTAACACTTACTTACGTCGTAACCCCTTTACATTAACACTGATGTACATTGTAAACCCTTTACATTAACACTGACTTACGTCGTTACTTCATAAGAATAACACTGACTTACGTAGTAACCCCTTTACATTAACACTGATGTACATTGTAAACCATTAACATTAACACTTACACGTTGTAACTTCATTAGAATAACACTGACTTACGTCGTGACCCCTTTACATTAACACTGACTTACGTCGTAACCCCTTTACATTAACACTGATGTACATTGTAAACCCTTTACATTCACACTGACTTACGTCGTAACTTCATAAGAATAACACTGACCTACGTCGTAACCCCTTTACATTAACACTGATGTACATTGTTAACCCTTTACATTAACACTGACTTACGTCGTAACTTCATTAGAATAACACTGACTTACATCATAACCCCTTTACATTAACACTGATTTACGTCGTAACCACTTTACATTAACACTAACATGTCGTCACCACTTTACATTAACACTTACACGTCGTAACCCCTTTACATTAACACTTACACGTCGTAACCCCTTTACATTAACACTAACACAGCGTTACCACTTTACATTAACACTTACACGTCGTAACCACTTTACATTAACACTTACACGTCGTAACCACTTTACATAAACACTTACACGTCGTAACCACTTTACATTAACACTTACACGTCGTAACCCCTTTACATTAACACTGACTTACATCGTAACCCCTTTACATTAACACTGATGTACATTGTAAACCCTTTCCATTAACACTGACTTACGTCGTAACTTCATTAGAATAACACTGACTTACGTCGTAACCCTTTACATTAACACTGACTTACCTCGTTACCCCTTAATATTAACACTGATTTATGTAGTAAGCCCTTTACATTAACACTGACTTACATCGTAATTTCATTAGAATAACACTGACTTACGTCGTAACCCCTTTACATTAACACTGACTTACATCGTAACCCCTTTCCATTAACACTGACTTACGTCATAATCCCTTTCCATTAACACTGACTTACATCGTAACCCCTTTACATTAACACTGATGTACATTGTAAACGCTTTACATTAACACTGACTTACATCATAACTTCATTAGAATAACACTGACTTACGTCGTAACCCCTTTACATTAACACTGACTTACGTAGTAACCCCTTTACATTAACACTGATGTACATTGTAAACCCTTTACATTAACACTGACTTAGGTTGTAACTTCATTAGAATAACACTGACTTACGTCGTAACCCCTTTACATTAACACTGACTTACGTCGTAACCCCTTTACATTAACACTGACTTACGTCGTAACCCCTTTACATTAACACTGACTTACGTCGTAACCCCTTTACATTAACACTGATGTACATTGTAAACCCTTAACATTAACACTGACTTACGTCGTTACTTCATAAGAATAACACTGACTTACGTCGTAACCCCTTTACATTAACACTGATGTACATTGTAAACCATTAACATTAACACTTACACGTTGTAACTTCATTAGAATAACACTGACTTACGTCGTGACCCCTTTACATTAACACTGACTTACGTCGTAACCCCTTTACATTAACACTGCTGTACATTGTAAACCCTTTACATTAACACTGACTTACGTCGTAACTTCATAAGAATAACACTGACCTACGTCGTAACCCCTTTACATTAACACTGATGTACATTGTTAACCCTTTACATTAACACTGACTTACGTCGTAACTTCATTAGAATAACACTGACTTACATCATAACCCCTTTACATTAACACTGATTTACGTCGTAACCACTTTACATTAACACTAACATGTCGTCACCACTTTACATTAACACTTACACGTCGTAACCCCTTTACATTAACACTTACACGTCGTAACCCCTTTACATTAACACTTACACAGCGTTACCACTTTACATTAACACTTACACGTCGTAACCACTTTACATTAACACTTACACGTCGTAACCACTTTACATAAACACTTACACGTCGTAACCACTTTACATTAACACTTACACGTCGTAACCCCTTTACATTAACACTTACACGTCGTAACCACTTTACATTAACACTTACACGTCGTAACCCCTTTACATTAACACTTACACGTCGTAACCACTTTACATTAACACTTACACGTCGTAACCCCTTTACATTAACACTTACACGTCGTAACCACTTTACATTAACACTTACACGTCGTAGCCACTTTACATTAACACTTACACGTCGTTACCACTTTACATTAACACTTGCACGTCGTAACCACTTTACATTAACACTTACACGTCGTAACCACTTTACATTAACACTTACACGTCGTAACCCCTTTACATTAACACTTGCACGTCGTAACAACTTTACATTAACACTTACACGTCGTAACCACTTTACATTAACACTTACACGTCGTAATCCCTTTACATTAACACTTACACGTCGTAACCACTTTACATTAACACTTATACGTCGTAACCACTTTACATGAACACTTACACGTCGTAACCACTTTACATTAACACTTACACGTCGTAAGCACTTTACATTAACACTTACACGTCGTAACCCCTTTACATTAACACTTACACGTCGTAACCACTTTACATTAACACTTACACGTCGTAACCCCTTTACATTAACACTTACACGTCGTAACCACTTTACATTAACACTTACACGTCGTAACCCCTTTACATTAACACTTACACGTCGTAACCACTTTACATTAACACTTACACGTCGTAACCCCTTTACATTAACACTTACACGTCGTAACCCCTTTACATTAACACTTACACGTCGTAACCACTTTACATTAACACTTACACGTCGTAACCACTTTACATTAACACTTACACGTCGTAACCCCTTTACATTAACACTTACACGTCGTAACCCCTATAAATTATCTGCCTCTGTCCTGAATAATGTAATACTTTAGCATGGACTTAGCAGTTAATGTATGCCACAGAGTCCATGGTTACAGAAATGTAACCCTTTTTTGTCGTTAAAAGAACTGTGGTATAAAGAAAAAATTTTTGTCTACACCACGAATTAAATTAATATTTAATTTTAAAAGTAAGATGTATTGTAATGGACATTTGTGAATAACTATTAGGAAAATATTTAAATCATTAGATTCAGACGAATGTTTATACTTGAAGGAACATCAAAAGGACAGACAGGCTATAATGTTTCGAAAAGATCGAGTTTTATTAATCTGTATATAAGGAAACAAAGAAAAATATAGAGAAATAAGCTTTACTGTCAGCTTGTTTGAAATAGCGTGTATATAAATTCAACACAGATCAGAATCTAATCTTTCAAATGTATTGTTTCAAATGTTTCAAATGTGTATTTGGGATATTAGGCTGGGAACCCATGATAGCATAATTATCATTTAGTTTGTGTCTACAACTAAGTGTTTCCTCATTTCGATCCGTATATACTTAAGGATAGCAAACAATTCAAACATATGATTCAGTTAAATAGTATTCACTGATCTCATTTCTAGTATTTTAGGGTATTTTTTAATTTCGGAGGTATCAAATAAGTAAAACCTAGCTTTGAAATTGTCATGTAAACTGTTTCCTTCTTTTACAAAATATATTATTTGTGGGGAGGATTACCTCTTACAGTTTTTTGATATTGTAGGGATGACACTGAAGTCTTTCCTGATGGTAGCAGCAAGAAGCGACTAGTACTCCTGTGTGTTTGTTGGTTCCAGGTCCCTGTACATACACAGACTTCAGTGGGACGTGTACACTTTACATTAACACTTACACGTTGTAGCCCTTTACATTATTTGACTCTGTCCTTTGCGTTTGTTGGTTCCAGGTCCCTGTACATACACAGACTTCAGTGGGACGTGTACAGGGCCCAGCCATGCTGAAGCTTCTGTCGTTCCTGGTGTGGATGTGGCTGAATGTGAAGACTTGTGCAGTAACACCCTACAGAACAAGCTGGCATGCTGGATGTACAGCTACGACAATCCCAACTGTACGCTGTATTTCGACACGGACCCATGGGCATGTACACAACCGTCACTGGCAGCCACAGCAAAGACGCGGGTCTGCTTTACATGTGTGTATACATGATTGGTCACTTTGTTACTTCCGCATTTCCAGCAAATAAATATAACGGCAGAGAATAATCTGTCACGTTTATCAGTTGAAACGGTTCCATTGGGCGGACAGTCTCTGTATTTTTGTTTTTGTCGACAGTTGAAACACTGACTTCGTCCTCAAGCCTCAGCAACTCTGATTCCAAACCAATTATCGACTGCGACTTGTATACATCCCGAGCTGCCGCTACCTCCACACCAACGACAACAGTCTCGACTATAACCATGGCAACTAATCTCACTACCCCAGTTACTGCAGGTATCACTACCCCGGCCACGTCAAGTCTCACTATGGAAACTAATCCCTCTACCTTTGCCACGTCAAGTATTACTATGGCAACTAATCCCTCTACCCTGGCCACGTCAAGTATCACTATGGCAACTAATCCCTATATCCTGGCCACGTCAAGTATCACTATGGAAACTAATCCCTCTACCTTTGCCACGTCAAGTATTACTATGGCAACTAATCCCTCTACCCTGGCCACGTCAAGTATCACTATGAGAACTAATTCCACTAACCCGGCCACGTCAAGTATCGCTATGGCAACTAATCCCTATGTCCTGGCCACGTCAAGTATCACTATGGAAACTAATCCCTCTACCCTGGCCACGTCAAGTATTACTATGGCAACTAATCCCTCTACCCTGGCCACGCCAAGTATCACTATGGCAACTTATTCCACTATCCTGACCATGCAAAGTATCACTATGGCAACTTATCCCACTATCCTGGCCACGTCAAGTATCACTATGGCAACTAATCCCACTATCCTGACCACGCCAAGTATCACTATGGCAACTAATCCCACTACCCCGACCACGTCAAGTATCACCATAGCAGCTTATCCCGTTACTCCGGCTGTGTCAAGTATCACTATGGGAAATACCACGACTAACCCAGCAAGCACGCCTGCAGGAGCACCACCTGTTACTACCGCACTGGCGTCGACGTCAACAGCAACAGGTACCGCAGCCTTCACTACACAACATGTAACATCTACATCCACTGCATCATCAGAAGCGTCAATTCTTCAACAACAGTCATGAAATCTCATCAGCATCAAATGAAAAATAATATACTAAACCGCAAAAGAAACGCAAGGTGTACATAAAATGTTGATAACGTCATGGCCATATCAGATATGCAGACAATATTAAGAAATGATAACAGAGAAAACATTTGATAACAAATGTGCATTGCTTGCTTGACCATCAGTGTTTATTGAAAAATCCCCCGAAAACAGCTCATCTCCCCCCGAACAGAAAAATGTCAAGTCCCAGTCATGGCCATCAATAGCACGTGTGGCCTCCGTTAGCTGCGATACAGGCCGCACATCGCCGTCTCATTGAGTCGACAAGTCTTTCTATTCCCGCCCTTAAAAGGCTTCTAGTTCCGGAAGTGTATATGGCTGCCTTGCAGCCTGAAGGCGTCTCGCAATCTCGTCCCAGACATACTCATTTGGCGCCATGTCTTGTGACAAGACGGCCAGGGCATCCTGGAATGTTATTCACTCTGAGGAAGTACATAGGGACCCGTGCTGTGTGGGGACGAGCATTGTCCTGCTGAAAGAGCTGGTGTTCTGGTTGACCCGGGAAGAGAGGTCTGACGTGATTACGAAGAACATCATCCCTGTACACGACAGCAGTCACACGCTGACGAACCACGTGTAGAGGGGTCCTGTGATGATAGCTGAAGACTCCCCACCGGGCGGCCTACAGGACACAGCCTTACGTCGTCTCCTCTCTCTGATATGGTGTGACAAGGGCTGAACCTTGATTCGTCTCAGAAGACACCTTGTTGCCACTGTTGACGTCGCCAACGCTGTTGACGTTGGTGGAGGCGGTGTTGTGTCAGTATGGGCCCGACGTGGGGACGACGACATCTGCTTCCCGCCGCTCTTAGACGACGACAACCTGTGTTGGCTGACCCGGGATGGACCTTGAATGGTTGCAGTGTTGCTCGTCGCTGTCGGCCACGTAGATGTGTCACCCGGATGTAACGGTCCTGCGCTGAAATAGTGACCCTCGGCCGTCCAGAACGAGGCAGGCCTTGAACACTGACAGTCTGGGGATGCCGTGCGACCAATCTGGTGGTGGTAGACACATGACATCCAAAGTGCCTCGCGACTACAGTTGGCGTTGATACGGCCTGCAGGATCCCCATGGCAACGCCTCACTGTTCAGTTAATCGACCCATGTTTCCTGTCCGTTTTCAAAGTCGAGTGTGAAATGTTAGGTGTGGGTTTTTTATACAGTGGCTTATAGAGGTTGGACAAGGAGGAAAATGCACGCATTTTGGCATGTGATATGCGCTGCACAAGCAAAAAACGTCAAACGAGACGAAACGACTTCGTTCCCGCGACGTGCTCGAAATGAATGATGGAAATAGAGAACAATGTTTCATCAATGCGTCTCTCTACGTTTTAAGACATTTCTTTTCACAAACAAAATTTGTCTTTCGTTTCTTTCCCGGTTCAGTATATTACTTAGAGTACATTACTACAGCGATATTTGTTGCGGGGCTACTGTTTAATTTGGTACTTTATCATTATGGCTTTACAAAAATCTCTTATCCGGGTTCATGTGCTTTCGACAAATACAATTCAGCAAGTTCCAATAAATAATACAGTGGTCACTTAGAACAGTTATATTTATCATAAGAAATCCCCCTGTCTTCTTTCTAAAATTTGATCATAAAGAATAATATCGCTTGTAACATGGTTGTTGTACCGCCGCACCATATATTTTCAGACTCTTCTGGGAACAGCGAAACCTGCCCGTGTTTGGTGTGCGTTGTGACAAAAAATGTGACAGAAATGAAGAGTATCATGGACGCCATTCTCCTGCTCCTGAAGTTAGACAAGTCCAAGCTGTCAGCCACCAGAAGGAAGCTGGAGTCAGAGCCGGACGACAGACCCTCAGCACAGGCCATTGGCTACTCGGGGATAATCTTCATCGTCATCACACTCAGTTTCTTCGTCCTAAGTGATCTAATGCGACTCTGTCAGTTCTTCTCAAGCAAGACATCTAACCCCCAATTAACGATCGGGGACAACACTGCCTGAAGACTGAGGTCCCTGGTCCGTTGTTCTGTGTCAGTGCTGGAGGCACGGATCGACAGGTTAGAGAAGTCTGCTTATGGCAAGTTTGGATTTATCAGTCACAGATGAAGCCACATACATCAAAAACACTTTAAACAGGATACAGTAAACTACGTTTATAACGAACACGCCTATAACGAACTGACGGATATAACGAACATATTTTTTATCCCGGCCATTTGCTGTATATATGCTTATAACGAATTTTATTTCAGTTGCGATGTAAAGACAGGGAAAGGTAAAGGTTGTTACCAGTTGGAAACAGAAACAGGAATTCCATGATGTCTGCTGCACTAAAGATCGCCTTTCATGACGTGTGTGGAAGCTAAAATATTGAAGTCTAAAAATTGTTAAATCCAAATGTTTATCTTGAAGGTGCACTTATATTCGAAATACTTAGCGTCTCTTTTTTACGAACTGACTAGTGGTATTTTATACCGGTCCTTGTTCACTTTACTGACGCCCCGTAATCTCAACATTTATCAATTTTTTTCAATTATGGATAAATGACATTTTTCATGTTTTATTCTCGACCTCGCCCATATAGTCAGCCAAAACCTCACCCACGTCATCACCCTCTTTCTCTCCATCACGCACAGTATCGACACATGCTTTTCTTTGTCAAAATAAAGTAACCATTTTCAGAATGTATTTTAACACAGAGAGTTTTTCACTTTCACATGACAATGCTTCACAATTCACTCATGCAATTATGAATTACATGTATCCTGTTTCCTTGATGTATCGGTCGCTATATAAGGGCAATAATCTTGAACGCGACACAACCCCCATGTCACCTTTCTCGTCTTTCATCGGTCAACATTCATCACGCGCCTTTCAGGGATAGAAGACACAAGGTTAGGGTCATTTGTTTCAGTTGTTCTCAACCTTGCACTGATTGCAGTTTAATTAATAATTTAGTTATCTATTATCCAAAGTGTGCGTAAGAGCTACAGTTACAATCATGTATGCCATATGTTTGTGTATTGTTGAATGTCTTTAATTGCTTTGAAAACCAAATGTTGTTTCTTCCCTAGTATCTGTGCCGAATGTGTTGTAGCTCAACAGTGACTGTTTCTTTAGTAGGGTTGAACTATTGCAGAACTGTTACGTTCTCGAAAAGCAGTAACATTTCGATCTAATTCTGAATATTTTGTTTGGATCACTCTAAGATCAACGTACCTTTTAGGTTTAGGATAACATTGCAAAACCAATGACGAGTTCTAAGTACTGCTTATAGAAACTCTTGAAGGCAAGTACTATTTCAAGTCATGTTCTGTCTTGTTGGAGGCGATTGTCTTTCGAACCCAGCTCAAAGGAGTGTTTCTTCATGTATCACAAACAAGTTCAACACGTGCCCTATTTTGATAACTGATTAAAATTAGGAGATAAACATACTGTGTTTTCAATGTAGAGCTAGGTTACCTGTAGATTTAACCCCGCTAAATTGAATTTGGAACCGAACGCGCAGCGTGAGGTTTCAAATGTTAAATTTAGCGCGGTTAGAAAAGCGCCAAAATTCCAAGCTCTCTGTGTCTCCAAAACGTAAAATCATTCCCTGTGTAGATTTCTATCGTGTTTTCTGTACGAAATGTATTGCCCCACATCCTTTGAATATTGTAGTAACCGCGTCTGTGCATTTTGTAACCTGTAATTACAGATTTAATTATTTAAATATGCCTACCGACACTGACTGAAAATAGTACTATTCTATGAATATTAGCTTCCGCGGTGATGCGGCCGTCAAACCAACTGTTTCAATCAGAGGGGGTTTATTGTGATTTAATAGCCTCTGATTGACCAATCAGAATCGAGTAAATTCCAAATTCATGGTAGAATTGACCATAACAGTTAAAACGTGCTGCAGAAAACATTTTGAAGAACTGTTATCTATGGCATTGAATGTAACTTTTGAGGATTACTTAACTGGGCATCGTATGTCAGACAGTTAATTAATTCAGCTGGGTATGCTTTTGTATGGGGCGAACAAAATGTAGCTATGCCAGAGCGATTGATTATAGACTTCCCACAAACTTTAAAGGACATGTACTTCCAAACATGGTTAACTTCTCTACCTTTGTCCAGTAAACTAAATGACTATTCGGATATCAAACTTTAATAGAGCGCACTGTTTGTTTGAATGAGATTTAAAGACATTCCGAGTGGCGTTAGCCCTAGTTGGATGCAGCTCTCACGATCTCCGTTTTGAAGCAGAATCTGTCAACTGTGAGGTTTTGATAAAACAGACGATGAATATCACGTTTTATGTGTTTGTTCATTCTATGTTGTTATTATTTGGGGCGATCGGGTAGCCTAGTGGTTAAAGCGTTCGCTCGCCACGCCGAAGACCCGGGTTCGATTCCCGACATGGGTACAATGTGTGAAGCCCATTTCTGGTGTCCCCCGCCGTGATATTGTTACAATATTGCTAAAAGCGGTGTAAAACAATACTCACTCACTCACTTTGTTGATATTAGAAACCTACTCAATAATGATTATTTTTTCAAGGATCCTTACCTGTATAAATTTTAGTAACTAATGAAGAATAAAAGTGCTGTTAAATTAAAAATGTGTCAGTTTTCATTTTCGGTGTCATTTATCGTAGAAAGCATGCACTTATTCAACGACTTGGTGATTGATGTATATTTTATTGCATAAGGTACCCTCAACTACTTCGTATGCATGTGCAATAGGCCTATGGCCTTCTCAGTATTTAGAAATAAAAATTGATTGATAGGTTTATGTTGACACAAAGGACATTGGCGACACGAGTCAGCCATGATAGATCAGGCATCAACAGAAATGTTTCCACTTGTGTCAACAAACATTTCAATTCTGAAAATCACTCAGTCCTTTGCATGAAACTTTTGATATTAGAACATTAGAACAGATATACCTTCAATCAATAGCCGCAAATGCATCCAACGCAATAGGATGTGCAGAGAAATCTTTCGCTTCGACTGTTGTGTACGGCAATTCAATATGGATGTAATGGCTACATAAGGGACGTTGCACGGGCAGTCTTCAAACATAAAAGCGGAAAAAAAATATTTACATAATCATAACAAATATCAGATAAATGCAGAGTCAATTGTATTATGATAATATAACATTATGATTCGAATGAATGAAAATAGTAAATATTTTGTAAAGAGTAAATAACGTTACATCTCAAAGAAATATTAATTACAAAAATGCAATATCAAATAAATGACTATTATAAAAATGTTCATAATTTATGGGTTTTTTAGAAGAGTTTTTTGTTTTTTTCTTTTTGATCAGCGCTTGAAGACGCCTTAAGCGCTTTTCAGGACATTAAACACGTCAATTGAACAATATATGTTTTGTTTTAAATATAAAACATCTACGCCAGAGTATATCAGTTTTGAGTATCTTGAGTTCACTGGGTGTAAAAGGGAAAATGCCAGTGAAAGTTATCTGAATGGACCATTGGTGATGAGGGTGACACCAGAGAACACTGTTCTTCTCCAGCGTTGTCGGGAATGCTCATCCCTTATCCCTCATCCCTCATCCATGATCTGGACACAAACTACGTTAATCGGGGAATTTTGTTTGTTGTGTAACGCCGCACTCCGCAATATTCAAGGTATATGACGGCGGTCTGTCAATAATCGAATCTGGAGCAGACACCCGATCCCAATAGTCGCCTCAAACAAGCATAGTCGCCTTTTACGGCAAGCATCGGTTGCTGAAGACCTATTCTATCCCGGATCTTCATTGGTCTATTCGGGGAAGTGATTTTGAGAACAACGTTTTCAACCGCTGAAATGGCGACATTTTTTAATAATATTGACGATAATTATATTGTGTACATGCATTGATAACGGTAACGACGGCATGGAGATTTCATCCTAATCCAGTCTTCTCAAAGGCTGATATATATGTAACATTCGCCGCAACAACAATTGGCACATTAGCGACAGTTGATTTGACATATTCCTAATCATTTTAGTGAATTTATTATTACACATATTTACCACTCTTGCGTTAATCATAATATCCTTTTCATCATGTACACCCATATAACACAATTTCAACCCATGCTTGTCTAACGGGAGTTAAGGCTGGATGACTTGGCTGATGCATGTCATTGATCGATTCACTTGTCAATCACTAGATTTTCTGGTCCAGACTATATTATTGACAGACCGCCGTCGTATAGTTGGAATATTGCTGAGTGCGACGTTAAACAAAAATCGAAGAAATAATAAACATCGGGGCTAAAAAATAGCAACTGAAGTCTCCATTATCCGAATAAACTGATTCTATTGGGCGTGAAGGTCCAAATAGCAGTGACGATTATATGAATGGATCATTGAAAATCAGTGATGACACCAGGTGTTCTCGAAAGGGTAATTATGTCCAACAGTTCATCTAAATCCAAATACTCTGACATTTGGACACAATGTGATGGCATCATGTGTCAAGGGAATCATCTTCCGTCAGGTAGTTGACAGCTAGGTCCCGCATTATTAAGGCGAGGTAAGGTGAGGTGAAATGGAGTTTAACGCCGCGTCCAAGATGTTTGCACTTATACATAGCGACTTCCATAAACGTGTGTATGTGGCTGCTTGTACTAGTCCGGACTAATGCCGATTTTATTGTGCTAGCCCACAGAGATACCATGCCGCAGTTTGACATGAATACCCCACTCAGACACAGCATATCGACTCCGAGCCGACCAGTCCTTGTTTTAGCCCCATGCCGAGCGCCAGACAGGGTAACAACAAGTGCCATCTTTTAACGTCTTTTGGTATGACGCGGCCGGGAATCGAACCCCGGGCCTTCCGCTCTTCGGGCTCTACCAATAGACGGTACCAATACCACAGAGGCGGTCGCATTATTGAGGCACACGTCAGAGTGACTAGCAAAATGAATAAAAGCGACAAAACACTTGCCATGATCATGATTTCATGTCTGCTAGTTGCACTGAAGGGTTCCGACTATGGCATATGTATGTGTTTATTTAGGAAATAAGCGACGAGTGGGAGTTGTTTATCGTACAATAAAATACTGCAGGGAGAATAAACCATACGGGCCGCATTTCTGGTCGTTTCTTTCTGATATCAGGTATCAAGATTATATACAGACTCTTTAAGCTTTAAAAATATTTCCCAGTTAATATTGATGACGCCCTGAATAGAATCCGACCTCGGAAATGTCGAACAAGTCCATTTTACTAACAGGTGGGTTAAATTTGGTATTTTCCGTGTATTCTCACAATCCTCACGTCAATTATCTGTATCTATTCTCCCAATACTGATTGTCATATCTCGCCCACTTTTGTATGCGATCGTTTGACCACTGAGTTTATCTGTGTAGCCCAGCTACATCCATGGGGAACAACTCACTACACGCTTCCCTATCTAAAATAACGTCGTCCAATATATGACGTCATCAAGTTGCGAGAGCATTTCCCATTCAGAAATGACGTCATGATAGAACATTGTTTTATCGTGAAATTAACTACGCTTCGTTCTACATTGTTCTTTGCGATTTATCGCGTAGCTATCTTATATGAATCAAGTTCATATAGCGCTGATACCTGTTCGCTAAAATAATATATGAAATTGCAAAAATGTAATGCAGCTGGCATCAGGTTTTTGTTTATGTAAAACTTCAGTTGAATTGTTTGATAGGCATTACTTAGAAGTTGACGGATGACAAAGTAGACACAATTTATGGATAACAACTTCTTTAACACTGTAAAAGCGACGTTTCGGTATAGAACCTTATACCGTTGTCAAGCAAGACTGTCAGAATTTCTTTTACAATCATGCAGTCATCAAATATTCTCGGTGAAGGTACGAGTAATCAGTTTTCACAAAGATAAATCTATTTTTTTTTATTACTTGATTGTTGACAGACACTGAAAGTAGGCCATTACCTCCTGCTATAATAATCGATTGGCAAAGCAAAGCTCGCATAAAACTGCTTTTCGAACCAATTAAAATCTTGCGATGTATTATCTCTCGCCGTTAACTTCAAATCCGAAACATATAAGTGTTATGATTAAGAGGTAAGACACACACAGTGTCTTTATTCCGAGGAGATGCTGCAGTGATACCAGGGATAAGTCACGCAGTTACCGAGCATTAGATTTAGATTGAAACGTCGTTGTTTGTTTCTCTCACCTTAATGATTTGTTTCGCAGTTATGTCATCTATGTATGGATATTTCAGTGATTTCGATTTTCCTGGAGTCATGTTTCTGATGGTGTAGTTCTGTATTTGTGGAACACGGGTAGAAACTGGGGGAACAGGGACCGAGACTGTAGGGACGGGGATAACAACAGGAGGAACGGGTGTAGAAACTGGAGCAACGGGGGTAGAAACAGGAAGAACGGGGGTAGCACCTGGAGGAATAGGGGTAAAAAAACAGGAGGAACAGTGGTTGAAACAGGAGCAACGGGGGTAGAAACAGGAAGAACGGGGGTAGCAACTGGAGGAATAGGGGTAAAAAAACAGGAGGAACAGTGGTTGAAACTGGAGGAACGGGGGTAGAAACAGGAAGAACGGGGGTAGCAACTGGAGGAATAGGGGTAAAAAAACAGGAGGAACAGTGGTTGAAACTGGAGGAACGGGGGTAGAAACTGGAGGAATAGGGGTAAAAAAAAGGAGGAACAGGGGTAGAAACAGGAGGAACAGGGACAGAGACTGCACGGACAGGGGTAGAAACAGGAAGAACGGGTGTACAAACAGGAGGAACAGGGGCAGAGACTGGAGGAACGGGGATAGAAACAGGAGGAACGGGTGTAGAAACTGGATGAACAGGGGCAGAGACTGGAGGAACAGGGATAGAAACAGGAGAAACAGGGGTAGACACAGGAGGAACAGGGATAGAAACAGGAGGAATAGGGGCAGAGACTGGAGGAACAGGGATAGAAACAGGAGAAACAGGGGTAGAAACAGGAGGAACAGGGATAGAAACAGGAGGAACAGGGGCAGAGACTGGAGGAACAGGGATAGAAACAGGAGGAACAGGGGAAGAGACTGGAGGAACAGGGATAGAAACAGGAGGAAGAGGGGTAGAAACAGAGGCAGAGACAGGAGGAACAGGGGTAGAAAAAGAAGGAACGGGGCTAGAAATAGGAGGAATAGGGGTAGAAACAGGAGGAACAGGGGCAGAGACTGGAGGAACAGGGGTAGAAACAGGAGGAACAGGGGTAGAAACTGGAGGAACAGGGGTAGAAACAGAGGCAGAGACTGGAGGAACAGGGGTAGAGACTGGAGGAACAGGGGCAGAGACTGGAGGAACAGGGGCAGAGACTGGAGGAACAGGGGCAGAAACAGAGGCAGAGACTGGAGGAACAGGGGCAGAAACAGAGGCAGAGACTGGAGGAACAGGGGTAGAAAAAGAAGGAACGGGGCCAGAAATAGGAGGAATGGGGGTAGAAACAGGAGGAACAGGAGTAGAAACAGGAGGAACAGAGGTAGAAACAGAAGGAACAGGGGCAGCGACTGGAGGAACAGGGGTAGAAACAGGAGGAATAGGGGCAGAAACTGGAGGAACAGGGGTAGAAACAGGAGGAACGGGGGTAGAAACAGGAGGATCAGGTGTAGAAACAAGAGGAACAGGGGCAGAGATTAGAGGAACAGGGATAGAAACAGGAGGAACAGGGGTAGAAACAGGAGGAACAAAGGTAGAAACAGGAGGGACAGGGGTAGAATCAGGAGGGGCAGGCGCAGAGATTGGAGGAACTGGGGTAGACACAGGAGGAACAAAGGTAGAAACAGGAGGAACAAAGGTAGAAACTGGAGGAACAGGGGTAGAATCAGGAGGGACTGGGATAGAAACGGGAAAAACAGGGGTAGAAACAGGAGAAACAGGGGTAGAAACAGGAGGAACAGGGGTAGAAACAGGAGGAACAGGGATAGAAACGGGAAAAACAGGGGTAGAAACAGGAGAAACAGGGGTAGAAACAGGAGGAACAGGGGTAGAAACAGGAGGAACAGGGGTAGAAACTGGAGGAACAAGGGTAGAAATAGGAGGAACAAGGGTAGAAACAGGAGGAATAGTGGTAGAGACTGGAGGAACATGAGTAGAAACAGGAAGAACTGGGGAAGAAACAGGAGGAACAGGAATAGAAACTTCTGTTTTAACAACAAGTACATAAAAACCAATCTGTATGAACCGTGAAGAATCGGGGTTGAATAGGTCTTCAGCAACCCATGCTTGCCGTAAAAGGCGACTATGCTTGTGGAAAGAGGCGACTAACGGGATCGGGTGATCAGGCCCGCTGACTTGGTTGATGTATCCCAAATGCGTGGATCGATGCTCATGATGTCAATAACTGGATAGTCTGGTCCAGACTCGATTATTTACAGACCGCCGTCATGTAGGTGAGTTGAGTGCGACGTTGAACAAGAGACAAACAAACAAACATTCTATAAGTACTTTCATTGAATTTTCCAATTTGAATATAAAATGAAATATTATTATAAAATTTCGACAGAGAAAGAACATGCATTACATGTAGTAAGTATGAGATATGGCATCCACCATCATACCTATCAAAGACCAATCAGTGTACCTAAAGGCCTGCGTGCGTTCACCATGAACGCCTGTATTTTATGTCATGATGGGTGACTGAAAAGTCCTCGGACTAACTATAAGGGATGTATAGTGCCGTACACCTTTAACAATACGCAATAGTTGTTTGATCAAGGTTACAACTTTCAAGACCTCAGTCAAGTTTTCCAAAAGTTTCATTGTAGACATGTGGAGGGTATTTCCAAATTTGACGCATCAGTGACAAAGATTATGTCCGATGCATTTCCCTAGTTTGACTTGTACCATAGGTTTCTATGTTTTATTCAGGTCAACATTTGCAGGTGTTTGTGACGGGTCCCCTCGGTAGGGCAGAAAACGTTAACCTGTTTTGCGAACATCGGGTAGCATCACTATCTGATAGTGATTCACAAACACATGCACGTGATATAGTTGGAATTGTACACGACTCTGCTGGTGGCAGAGATTTCGTATGAATATGGAAAGGGTTTTGTCGCTTTTCATTCAAGAGGACAAAAGAGAGTCGAAGATGGAGAAGATCAGGAAGTGCTTCAACAGTCACCACTGAGAAACATGTTAATTAATAATAAATATGATCAAGGATGATCGACGACTCCCCACACGTCACACAGCCATAGTAGGCATCTCTCATGCCTGTTCCATGGGTGTACCATACTGGTGTCTGTTTCATGGGTGTACCATACTGGTGTCTGTTCCATGGGTGTACCATACTGGTGTCTGTTCCATGGGTGTACCATACTGGTGGCTGTTCCATGGGTGTACCATACTGGTGTCTGTTCCATGGGTGTACCATACTGGTGGCTGTTCCATGGGTGTACCATACTGGTGGCTGTTACATGGGTGTACCATACTGGTGGCTGTTCCATGGGTGTACCAGACTGGTGTCTGTTCCATGGGTGTACCATACTGGTGGCTGTTCCATGGGTGTACCAGACTGGTGTCTGTTCCATGGGTGTACCATACTGGTGTCTCTTCCATGGGTGTACCATACTGGTGTCTGTTCCATGGGTGTACCATACTGGTGTCTGTTCCATGGGTGTACCAGACTGGTGTCTGTTCCATGGGTGTACCATACTGGTGTCTGTTCCATGGGTGTACCATACTGGTGTCTGTTCCATGGGTGTACCAAGCAGGTGGCTGTTCCATGGGTGTACCATACTGGTGTCTGTTCCATGGGTGTACCATACTGGTGTCTGTTCCATGGGTGTACCATACTGGTGGCTGTTCCGTGGGTGTACCATACAGGTGGCTGTTCCATGGGTGTACCATACTGGTGTCTGTTCCATGGGTGTACCAGACAGGTGTCTGTTCCATGGGTGTACCATACAGGTGGCTGTTCCATTGGTGTACCATACTGGTGTCTGTTCCATGGGTGTACCATACTGGTGTCTGTTCCATGGGTGTACCGTACAGGTGGCTGTTCCATGGGTGTACCATACTGGTGTCTGTTCCATGGGTGTACCATACTGGTGTCTGTTCCATGGGTGTACCATACTGGTGTCTGTTCCATGGGTGTACCATACAGGTGGCTGTTCCATGGGTGTACCATACTGGTGTCTGTTCCATGGGTGTACCATACTGGTGTCTGTTCCATGGGTGTACCATACTGGTGTCTGTTCCATGGGTGTACCGTACTGGTGTCTGTTCCATGGGTGTACCGTACAGGTGGCTGTTCCATGGGTGTACCATACTGGTGTCTGTTCCATGGGTGTACCATACTGGTGTATGTTCCATGGGTGTACCATACTGGTGGCTGTTCCATGGGTGTACCATACTGGTGTCTGTTCCATCGGTGTACCATACTGGTGGCTGTTCCATGGGTGTACCATACTGGTGTCTGTTCCATGGGTGTACCGTACTGGTGGCTGTTCCATTGGTGTACCGTACTTGTGTCTGTTCCATGGGTGAACCATACTGGTGTCTGTTCCATTGGTGTACCGTACAGGTGTCTGTTCCATGGGTGTACCATACTGGTGTCTGTTCCATGGGTGTACCGTACAGGTGGCTGTTCCATGGGTGTACCATACTGGTGGCTGTTCCATGGGTGTACCATACTGGTGGCTGTTCCATGGGTGTACCGTACAGGTGTCTGTTCCATGGGTGTACCATACTGGTGGCTGTTCCATGGGTGTACCGTACAGGTGGCTGTTCCATGGGTGTACCATACTGGTGTCTGTTCCATGGGTGAACCATACTGGTGTCTGTTCCATGGGTGTACCATACTGGTGGCTGTTCCATGGGTGTACCATACTGGTGTCTGTTCCATGGGTGTACCATACAGGTGGCTGTTCCATGGGTGTACCATACTGGTGTCTGTTCCATGGGTGTACCATACTGGTGTCTGTTCCATGGGTGTACCATACTGGTGTCTGTTCCATGGGTGTACCGTACTGGTGTCTGTTCCATGGGTGTACCGTACAGGTGGCTGTTCCATGGGTGTACCATACTGGTGTCTGTTCCATGGGTGTACCATACTGGTGTATGTTCCATGGGTGTACCATACTGGTGGCTGTTCCATGGGTGTACCATACTGGTGTCTGTTCCATGGGTGTACCATACTGGTGTCTGTTCCATGGGTGTACCATACTGGTGTCTGTTCCATGGGTGTACCGTACTGGTGGCTGTTCCATTGGTGTACCGTACTTGTGTCTGTTCCATGGGTGAACCATACTGGTGTCTGTTCCATTGGTGTACCGTACAGGTGTCTGTTCCATGGGTGTACCATACTGGTGTCTGTTCCATGGGTGTACCGTACAGGTGTCTGTTCCATGGGTGTACCATACTGGTGGCTGTTCCATGGGTGTACCATACTGGTGGCTGTTCCATGGGTGTACCGTACAGGTGTCTGTTCCATGGGTGTACCATACTGGTGGCTGTTCCATGGGTGTACCGTACAGGTGGCTGTTCCATGGGTGTACCATACTGGTGTCTGTTCCATGGGTGAACCATACTGGTGTCTGTTCCATGGGTGTACCATACTGGTGGCTGTTCCATGGGTGAACCATACAGGTGGCTGTTCCATGGGTGTACCATACTGGTGGCTGTTCCATGGGTGTACCATACTGGTGGCTGTTCCATGGGTGTACCATACTGGTGTCTGTTCCATGGGTGTACCATACTGGTGTCTGTTCCATGGGTGTACCATACTGGTGGCTGTTCCATGGGTGTACCATACTGGTGTCTGTTCCATGGGTGAACCATACAGGTGGCTGTTCCATGGGTGTACCATACTGGTGGCTGTTCCATGAGTGTACCATACTGGTGTCTGTTCCATGGGTGTACCATACTGGTGTCTGTTCCATGGGTGTACCATACTGGTGGCTGTTCCATGGGTGTACCATACTGGTGGCTGTTCCATGGGTGTACCATACTGGTGTCTGTTCCATGGGTGAACCATACAGGTGTTTGTTCCATGGGTGTACCGTACAGGTGGCTGTTCCATGGGTGTACCATACTGGTGGCTGTTCCATGGGTGTACCATACTGGTGGCTGTTCCATGGGTGTACCGTACAGGTGTCTGTTCCATGGGTGTACCATACTGGTGGCTGTTCCATGGGTGTACCGTACAGGTGGCTGTTCCATGGGTGTACCATACTGGTGTCTGTTCCATGGGTGAACCATACTGGTGTCTGTTCCATGGGTGTACCATACTGGTGGCTGTTCCATGGGTGTACCATACTGGTGTCTGTTCCATGGGTGTACCATACAGGTGGCTGTTCCATGGGTGTACCATACTGGTGTCTGTTCCATGGGTGTACCATACTGGTGTCTGTTCCATGGGTGTACCATACTGGTGTCTGTTCCATGGGTGTACCATACAGGTGTCTGTTCCATGGGTGTACCATACTGGTGGCTGTTCCATGGGTGTACCATACTGGTGGCTGTTCCATGGGTGTACCATACTGGTGGCTGTTCCATGGGTGTACCATACTGGTGTCTGTTCCATGGGTGTACCGTACAGGTGTCTGTTCCATGGGTGTACCAGACTGGTGTCTGTTCCATGGGTGTACCATACTGGTGTCTGTTCCATGGGTGTACCATACTGGTGTCTGTTCCATGGGTGTACCATACTGGTGTCTGTTCCATGGGTGTACCATACTGGTGGCTGTTCCATGGGTGTACCATACTGGTGTCTGTTCCATGGGTGTACCATACAGGTGTCTGTTCCATGGGTGTACCATTATGGTGGCTGTTCCATGGGTGTACCGTACAGGTGTCTGTTCCATGGGTGTACCAGACTGGTGTCTGTTCCATGGGTGTACCATACTGGTGGCTGTTCCATGGGTGTACCATACTGGTGGCTGTTCCATGGGTGTACCATACTGGTGTCTGTTCCATGGGTGTACCATACTGGTGGCTGTTCCATGGGTGTACCATACTGGTGTCTGTTCCATGGGTGTACCATACTGGTGGCTGTTCCATGGGTGTACCGTACAGGTGGCTGTTCCATGGGTGTACCATACAGGTGGCTGTTCCATGGGTGTACCATACTGGTGTCTGTTCCATGGGTGTACCATACTGGTGTCTGTTCCATGGGTGTACCATACAGGTGGCTGTTCCATGGGTGTACCATACTGGTGGCTGTTCCATGGGTGTACCATACAGGTGTCTGTTCCATGGGTGTACCAGACTGGTGTCTGTTCCATGGGTGTACCATACTGGTGGCTGTTCCATGGGTGTACCATACTGGTGGCTGTTCCATGGGTGTACCATACTGGTGTCTGTTCCATGGGTGTACCATACTGGTGGCTGTTCCATGGGTGTACCGTACAGGTGTCTGTTCCATGGGTGTACCATACTGGTGGCTGTTCCATGGGTGTACCATACTGGTGTCTGTTCCATGGGTGTACCATACTGGTGGCTGTTCCATGGATGTACTGGTGGACCACGTCCCGACACGTCAAACCATTAATGGTAACATGTTTGGGCACCTGCGTGAGGACATCAGGGACAAACATCACAGAAAACACACTAAAAGTGTTGTTCAACCAGACTAAAACACCTGTCCGTTGTCGCCATGGCCGAAATGCATGACCGTGGCCTTTGACTCATTGAACACATCCGTATTCACCAGATTCGGCACCGTCTGGAGTCCACTTCTTCCCAATCTTGAAGAAAGAACTGTCTGGCAAGCATTATGCAAATGATGATAACGTCATTATCGCTGTCACAATCTTTTTACACGACCACGAGGAGGCAATTTACAACAGGGCGATCCAGACACTCGGGCGTCATTGGCAGAAGTTGGGGACCACGGAGGGTACTTAAAGCAGATGCTATTCGGACCATCAGCGTAATCTACCTCTGAAGGAATACAAACATTACAAATGCAGGTATGATCTCCAATTATATTTACCAGTTATAATCAATCAGTTGGAAAGCATATGACTGTGAATACGGTAGGACTAACACTAACAGATAACACTGCCTGGGCCCCATGGAGTGAGCCCAACACTTTGGCAGCAGGTTTGTTTGTAAGCTACTACTCGCGCTTTTTATCGCCCTCATCAAAATTCCAGCTGTGTGACGGCGGTCTGTAAATAATCG